ATTCAAGTTTAGTTCCACATTTGAAAATCAATCAATGCAATACACCAAATTAGCAAGCTAAAAGACAGATAAATAAAAGGCATCCAGGATGTAAAGGAAAAAAACATAACTGTCTTTAAATAGAGACAGCATGGCCATTTATATAGAAAATCCAATGAGATCTACATAAGGGACTACTAGAACTAATAAGTGAGTTCAGCAAGGTTGCAGAATAAAAGAGTAAGCTACAAAAAATAATTGTATTTTACATAACAGCAATGAACAATTGAAAAATTAAGACAAATAATATTTACCATAACATCAAAGTATAAAATAATATAAAATATATGAAAATATAAAATAATTGGTACTTAAGGTTAAATTTAACAAAAAGTGTGAAAAGCACAAAACGCTGGTCAGAAAAATTCAAGGAACTCTAGATAAATGGAAAAACATCCAGCGTCCATGACTCAGAAAAATTACTACTGCTAAAATGGCAATACTACCCAAATTTATTACAGATGGAACACAGTCCTTATCAGTTTTCCAACTATAATTTTTCAGAAATTCATAAGCTGATTTTAAAATTCATATCAAAATGCAAAGGACTTAAAGAGCCAAAATAATCTTTAAAAAGAACCAAGTTAAAGGACTAACAGTACCTGATTTCAAATTTCAGTTTAAAGGTAAGCAAATAGACAACGAAACAGAATAAAGCATCGTGAAAACACACTGACTTACATGGACAACTGATTTTTGATTAACAAGCAAAAGCAGTTCAAAGGAGAAAGTACAGATCTTGCAGAAATTGTATTGGAAAGACTGGATATTCATATATTTTTTAACGAGCGTTGTTCCTTAGTTCACACCATATTAAAACAGTAATTCAAAATGAATCATACACGCAAAGGCAAAACCTGAAACTATAGAACTTCTGGAACAAAAGATGAGAGAAAATCTTTGTAACCTCGGATTAGGCAACAATTTCTTAAAAACAATACCAAAATCACAATCTAGCCAAAAAAATGATAGATTTGCTTTATCAAAATGTAAAACTTCTGTTCTTTGAAATATACCACTAAGAGGAAAAATACAAGATATGGGTTGTATTAAAAAGTGTTTATAAATAATATATCTGATAAATTACTTGTATCTAGAACAAAACACATTTTCAAGGTTCATATGAAAACCAGCAATCCAATTTTTAAAATGAGCAAACTATTTGATCAGATGCTTCACCAAATAAGGACCTGAAATAGGTGTATAAAAAGATACCCAACATCATTAATCATCAGAGAAATACAAATTAGAATCACAATATGATACTACTGCACACTCAGAATGGCTAAAAGCAAAAAGACTGACTACCAAGTATTGACAAACATATGGAACAAATGGAACTCTCACACACTATTTGTGGGAATGTAAAATGGTATAACCATTTTCGAACATGGTTGGGAAGTTTTTCAGAAAAGGAAACATATATGGACTCCACGAGCCAGAAAATGCACTCTTAGCATTCATCCAAGAGAAATGAAAGGGAGTGTTTCTACATTGATTTGTACATAAAGAAGAACTTGGCTTGTTCACAAGAACTTCACTTATTACCCAAAACTAGAAATAACTCAAGTAAATGAATTCAAACAGTGTGGTATACACAGGGGAGGGAGAGCCAGCCAGCCCTCTTCACCAGTCTCAGAACCAGTGAGGACTCCTGAAACCCTTATTCATTCCTACCTATTTCTTCTTTTTCTAAATAGAACTGGATTCCTTCTTACCTGCTACATATGTGCTACATGAGAAATCTCTACTATGATGCTTATATTGATTACAAATACATGCGTAGCCTACTAATCCTCTAAATAAGAAAGGGAAAACAATTTTGTATTCCCAACACGTGTATAAGTCCTGAAGATTATGGGTGCTTGTACTAGTAAAGAAAGAATTTGAAAAGGCCATTGTTCCATCTTAAGCATGAAAACAAATTGGTTAAATGAGCAAATCAGATTTTATCATAGAGCCGAGGACATTAAGAGTTCTAAATGATTTAAATTCAATAAAGCAAATGACAAGTCCTTTCTAAGAAGGAAATGGCCTGTGGATGCTTCCATCCCTACCGAGTATCTTAGTTCTGCATTTACTCAGATGTAGTTCAGATATCTAGATGGAAATAGTGCTATTCCATTATACCTATTTCCAAAAATTTTACTGAATACTCTTTTGTACCTATTTGCAAAAAGATAAGCATAAAATCAATAGTTAAATAAAAGCTTCCAAATATAAACACTCTGAATCCTAACTCTGTGTAATAAAAATGCCAGATCTAGAGTTGACCTTGCAGATTAAATAGAACTTAAAGATTGTTTTCCATGAAAGCATCAAATAGTTACTTTTATTATAATGGAAAGTTGGCAATCTTCTTTGAAATGCAAATCTAAAGCTTAGGTATTTCACAGAAGCTATGGTTTGGGATATATATAACAAGGAGATACATGTTTCAGAAATCCTGCAGTAAAATGGTAATCAGTGTATGAGCAACCCTAATCTCTTGCATATTCCAAAAGCTGAGCAAACACTTTTTGGTAAAGGAAATCAATGGAAAAGGATACTAAAAAATTTAAGAAAAAGAAACCAAAGTCTGATTGAGGAACATACGTGAGTCACACTACCACTGTGTTATTAGGCAACTTTAAATACTTAAAAGTTTAGTAAGAAATTGGATAGAAGGATTATGGTATGTTTACAGGTACTATAATACATGCTATTACACTATGAAATCAGAGCTTCACCAAATTACTCCTTATTGCACGGTAGCCAACAAATTCTTGAATTTATTTGTGCAATTATTAGATGTATCTAAGGTTTCTTTTAGAGGCCACCTGATAATGAAAGAGATATGGAACCTGGCAAGGAGTCTTTCAACAAGCACCTTGCAAACATATATTTATACAGTCATTTTCTAGGGTCACAGTCTTCCTAGACTATAATCATAGAGGGTAAATGATAAAAAACTGGTTATAAACTCAAATACCCTATTTCATCTCATTTTACCTGATTATGCCTGGAAGTAGAGGGCTTGATCAGCCAGATAAACACAGTTTGACTGGGAAACAATGAAATATGAGGAAGTTTGCGTGCAAGAATTGGGACCTATGTTTGTTTGAAAGAGCAAATTCATCTTTAAAAAAATCTTTAAAGAAGTGAGAATACTAGGAGTACTTATTTAATAGGGTTATATGAAGCTCAAGTTTGGTGTTATTTATAAAATACTTACTTAGCTTAATGGTAGCACATATTAGGCACTCTGTTTCTCTAACATAAATAAAATTAATAAGCCAGTGAATTGAATCCTCAGTTGAAATTCCACTCTTAAAACATATATTAAAATAACATTAGAAATGATAACCGGAATAAGGGCCTGTTTGTTTGATATTGCATAGTTTCTGATAATCTTGGTAAATGATGAAACACAGAAATTGATTTTTAACATGTACCGAACCTATTTTCCTCTAATATTAATTGCTTTGGTGAGGCTTTGATGGAAGGTCCTTGGACAAATCACATTCTTTCTGGCTTTTTCATTGATTGAAGATCTTAAAATAAGGAAAATCTTTTTTTGAAAAGACTTATTTATTTATTTTTTAAAAAGAGCATGTGAGTGGGCGGGGATGGTGATGGAGAGGGACAGAGGAAGAGAATCTTTAAGCAGACTCCTCAGTGAGCACAGAGCCCAAGGCGGGGCTCAATCTCATGATCCTGAGATCAGGTCCAGAACTAAAATCAAGAATTGGATGCTTAACTGACTGAGCCACCAAGGCACCCCAAAACAGGAAAATCTTGAGTCCTTACCTCTTTTAAATTCTATAGTTCTGACTTTAATGTGTAATAGACTATTTCATGAGCAATTAATTTTAAGTGACTAGAATGTCCTTCATAGTACATATCTTATCATTTATAATATCAACATTTTAATACTATTTAAATAATGAAGGATTTTCCAATACCACTAGTAGTCATTTATGTAAAGTAAAATAATTTGGGGAAGGTTTGGTGATTATGATAAGTAATAGTAATTGCTAACATTTACTGAGCACTGCTGATTTGCCAGACACACTTCTAAGGACTTTAATTACTTTATTTAACATTCCTCTAAATCTTGTCAGTAAGCATCTGTAGTTTTTCTTCATTTGACAAGATTTTTATAGAGGTTAGGCAATATAATCCAACAGGCTGGAAATGGACCATCAAAGTTTAAACAACAATGATATATATGAGAAGAAGAATTGAGGTTTAGGTAAAAAGAATGTTACCTTGAAGTTGAAAGCAAATTTGAGGCCAGTGAAAGTGCCTCTAGTGTGTGGTGTTTGGCCTGTCCAGCCTGTTTGCTGTCCAGCCTGAAATGCAGCTGAGGTCAGAGGGTAGGGATATCTAGTGGAGTCCGTGTCTTCCTTCAGTGGTATTAACAGAGTATGAGCAGATTAAACAGATGGTAAATGGTTAATGTGATTACACTGACCAGATGGAGCTGGATGATAAACTTGAAACAGGTTTAGAAAGAAGGCAATATGGATTTGAGTACATAGACCAACAAATCACCAGAGAACATAAAAGCAGCTATAACCCAAGCAGGGAAAGATCTATGAAGAACAGCACTGATTTTACTTACTAAAGAATTAGATGACCAAAGACTCTACCAGAAAAAATTGGATTGAATTAAAGATTTATAAGAGTAATAAATAAAAGAATGTAAAATTATATATGTACATATAATTTATGTGTTGTGTATATATATAATTTTATATTCTTTTATTTATTATATATATAAGTATATGTGTGTGTGTGTGTGTGTGTGTATATATATATATATATATATATATATATATATATAATGATAGTTGGTCTTTATTTGAAGGAATGACTTATTCCCTGTTAAATTGTAAAAGGAAGCACTATTCCTTTTTAAAAAATCTAAAACCATAGTCATATGTATTTGTAGTCATATGTATCATTTGAATTTTTACACAACTGAGAAATTTAACATTGGACATACACTATTTTAACTATTATAGACAAAACAATTTAAAAACCATGCAAGATGTCAGAATGCTTGTTGATAATTTTAAAAGGCTATAAGATAAAGTCTTAATCAAAGTAGTGAGAAATTTAAAATTTTATTAAAATAACAATGGATTATAAAGAATTTCTAATTTTTTCAACTATTACAAGAAGCGATAAAAAAATGACGACCACTATAAACTTTTTTTATTTAGCATTTTCATTTGGAATTTCTAGCCAAAACAAAAACATGTATAACATAAAAAGAGGTAAAAATAATTGGAAAGGGTTAAACAAATTTTTCATGCCTTCAGAATGATATGTGGTTACACTACACAAGATAATATAACAAGAAAACCCAAGATGTCAAATTTAATATATTTTTAGAAAAATTTTCTTTTAATTAAAGGTAGAGGATTCTGATACGATTGTTTTTTTGAAGGCTTGGTATCTTCTAACATTACAAATTCAAAATCTTAATTTTAATTCCATATAGATATTATACATCTACCTCTCATTATTTCAAAGGAGGTTAGTTCTGACATTTCAAAATAGATTTACTACTTTTGTATAGAGGGTCCGTGCAACTCAAGGTGTTTGCCACTTCTGCCAGCTCAAAACTAAATGCCCACACCAACCTCAATCACTGGAACTTTCAAGAAAGGCTTGCGTAATTCTAAACCACCCATGCAGAGTAGGATGGGGAGGAAAAGGGCAGAAGGGAACATCATGCTTTGTTTATAAACACAGATCTAGAAGCATAACTCTTTACAACATTAATCTTTTATTCAATATGCAATATGTAACTTATATTCTCAAGACATTGTAGGTGGCTCCAATAAATGCTTTCAGGTACATGAATTCTAAAGGTATTTTCTACAAAAAGAGAGGATTATGTAAATGTGCCTTAATATAAGTAGAGCTGTTCTTGGAGAATAACTAAGAAAAAGGTTTCTGAGGACGCCTGGGTGGCTGAGTCGGTTAAGCCTGACTTCAGCTCAGGTCATGATCTCAGGATCCTGGAATCGAGCCCATGTCAGGCTCTGCATTCATCAGGGAATCTGTTTGTCCCTCCCCCTCTACACTCCCACCCCCGCTCATTCTCTCTCTCTCTCTCATGTGTGCACACGTTCAAATAAATAAATAAAATCTTTTTAAAAAAGGAAAGAGGTTTCTGTCCCTATCTAAATTTGTATGTCTATTTTCATATTAAACTTTTGTATTAATAGAAATACTTCCTAAAACATTTGTTATACATCACAATCAGAAAAAGGTAAATATCCCAAGACATATAAATCATTCAATAAATTAAAGTTCATAGCTGTAATGGAACAAAATTCAATCAGAAATATATATTGGGCAGCTACTGTGACATGCAATATGAAGAACTTTTGAAAATTATAACCACCAGGTACTGATATATTATATATACATTATGTATAAAATATGTGTATGTATGTATGTGCATATATGTATATTATATATACATAATCATATACTTTATAATATATAACACATATACATATATATTTTTATCTAATTTAATTACTATAACATCTCTAAATTTAGACACTATCTGTTTTGCAAATGAGGACTTTGTAGCTCTAAGAAATGCGTGACAATTCAAAAATCACTGTTAATATTTAACAAATGACATTTTAAAGATCTATTTATTTATTTATTTATTTATTAGAGAAAGAGTGCACAAGCATGGGGAATAGCAGATGAAGAGGGAGAGGGAGAGAATCTTAAACAGTTGCCCTGCTGAGCACAGAACCAACATGGGGCTGATCTCACAACCCTGAGATCATGTCCTGAGCAGAAATCAAGAGTCAGACATTTAACTAACTGAGCCCCCAAGGCACCCGCAGAAACAACATTTTAATATAAATTGGTCTAATGCCAATGCACACCAATACAATTAATCACACAGCCATTTTAAATAAGTTCCCACATCAGTCTGAATACTTGAAACATAATATTAGGGGGAAAGAGTAATATAGAATTATGTTAAATGGATATACAATGTTGTGATTGTGGGTATCCATGCATATAATACATTTATATAAACAAGAAACTATTTGAATATGAAAAATTATTCACCATACATTTTTTGTAGTTGAAAATGACCCTATGTTTTTGTTATTTCTGTGTTTGTCGTATTTCCTGAATTCAATTATGTGCAATAATACTTAACAAACTCTCTGATACTAATAAATTGATTTTGTTTGTTATTTTAATGGCTACTAAAGAGGAATACATAGATTTTTCCAGAAAAAAATCCACTCTGTGTTATAAAATATTTATTATGAATATGAGGAATATGATAATTAGAATATCAGATAATTAGAGTACCTAAACTTTAAAAATATTTTTAGAATGTTCAAAAAAAACCAATCATAGTTCAGTTGGGTGGATGAAAATAAAAACTTTTTATCTCTGTGTAAATGTTACCGGAAGGATATTGGTTATCCTATCTGGTATGGCAGAAAAATATTAATTAAACAACTGATACCAGAGCACTTCTAAGAAGTACACTGTATTTGTTTATGAACATTGAGAGAGAAAGGAAATGGTGAATCAACTTGCTGAGCGGGCTGAAGTTTAAGCCACTGAGAATGAAAGAAGGAAAGGGAGTCTAAAATCATTTTCATTTATATCATTATTATAAATCATTATTCATTTACTCATGTATTTATTCAAAAGTCTGTTTTCAAAACACTTGTTTGCCAAGCATTATGATGAGTGAGAGTGAAATTTACAAGGTATTCTCATGGGTCATACTTGGTGTCAGTGGTGGGAAAAAAGGGTTGGCAATAATGAAGTAGGGACATAGACTAAAATATGTATTCAGGAAAGGAAAAGTGATATGAAATAACAAACAAAAGCTATGTTGTGTTGAGTAGCTGGGAAGCAGAAGCTTCAGTAGAGTGAACGGAAGAGAACTCTCTGAGTTGGTAATATTTGCAGGAAAAGCAAAATAATGAGAAGTGAAGCTCTCTGGGAAAAGACAATCCCAGGTCCTAAGTTTATAAAGTCTTGGACTCTGTGTTTGGAAATACTTTGGAGAATTTCACAACTATGAGACTCTGTGGGGATATCTTATAAAGACACAGGTAGAGAGAGAGTTAGCAGCATAACCCTCAGTGGTAACAACTTTGAATTTTATTCCAAATGCAAATGGAAGAAAATGAGAGTTTTTGTCAAAGAGCACTCTCTTAATCCATTGCTACTGATCTTAATCTCAAAAAAGAAAGAACTTCATTAACAGAATGTATGTTTTGTGTGACAGTTGTTTAGGGGTGGGGTAGGTGGGTATTGCTGATCATCAAGAAGGAGTTATGTAACCCATTTGGCTCTACTTGAAGAATAAAATAAAATAAGAATTGTAAGATACAGAAGAAGGAAATTAAAGTAATACATATTAGAAATTTTACCTATTATGAACTTTTGTCTTCATATTTTCTAGATTTGGGGAGTACAGTTTGAGAGATGACAAATGCAATACAAATTAATATCTTGGGATTTTTTCTGTTTAAAGTGGCTTGAGATCAGGTGAAGACACAAGTACAAACAAAAAGCTGCTTTAAATTTCTTATAAATATGAATTTTAAGAAGAGGCAAAATTTGTAATTAAGTAACACCCTGTACTTGAGAGGTTTAGGGCTTAACTGGACTGCAAGAAAGCCAGATGACATTTTTTTTTAAATGATGTAAAAAACACTTATAATATTTCAAAGATATGGGCAAGGCCATTTGCACTATATCTTCTATTTAGGGGACAGTTTCAATTCGCATCCATTTGGCTGCAAGTAACAGAATATCAGATCCCAGTGTCTTTAATATGAAGACAAGTATGTCACAAAGCAAACAATATGGAAATAGGTGGTATTGTGAGTGATTCCGTAAGTCAAAATTCACATAAAAAACAAAGCTCTTATCATCTTCCCATCTGCATTTTTTCAAATTTTATTTTTACTTACTTGACAGAGAGAGAGAGAGATCACAAGTAGGCAGAGAGGCAGGCAGAGAGAGAGGGGGAAGCAGGCTCCCCTCTGAGCAGAGAGCCTGAGGTGGGACTCAACCCAGGACTCTGGGATCATGACCTGAGCCAAAGTCAGAGGCTTAACCCACTAAGCCACCCAGGTGCCCTACCCCATGTGCATTTCAACACATTACTTCTTTCTTCCTAGTCACAAAGTAGCTGCCATAGCTCCAGTGAACATAATTTCATAGACCCATTTAGAAAGAAGACAGCCAAAGGAACTTCTGTCTGTCTATCTCTATTTTTATCAAGAAACACTCTCTCTCTCTCTCTCTCTCTCTCTCTATATATATATATATATATATATATATATATATATGGCTCATGGACTGCACCTTACCTCTCTGCTTGAGTAGAACTGAGTAGCTGAGTTCCAGTGCTCCAACCAGAAGCAAAATGGAATCAGATTGCTCTGACTTGCTCAGATACTTCCCTGAGACTGCTCAGTTTGGCACCTAAGCAAAATCAAGAGTCAGTTGGTGAGGAAGAGGGAAGGACAAGGAAGCAACCAACAGTGTCTGCCACAGTAAGGAAATAGGTTTATGCTAAGCAAGAAACTATCTTTCTTACATAAAGCAAAATCTGATTCCCCAAAGAAAGATTAGGAAACTATTTTCAATAAAGATGATTATCTAATTGAATATAATGAAAAGTAAAAATAGCACAGTCATTGCTCTCTTCAGGGAAATAAACAATAAGGACATTAAGACCATTCATAGGAAATAACTGCAGGGAAATTTCTCGGGCAAATCACTGTAATATTTTGATATGTTCATGAAAAATGGGATTTTTGCCATATACTTTATGATTAGGTATTATTGACAAGACATCTTTTTATGAAGAATAAACCAAAATAACAGGAAAATAAAAGCAAGACCTCAGAAAAACAACATAATTCAAAATATACAACAATATTAGAATGGCTAAAATCTATAATGCTGACAACACCAAATGCTGGTTGAAAGCTGAAGCAGCAGGAACTCTCATTCACTGCTGGTGGGAATGCAAAATACTACAGCCACTTTGAAAGACAGCTTCATAGTTTCTTATAAAACCAAACACTTACCATACAGATCAGCAATTTTGCTCCATGGTGTTATCCGAACAAGTTGAAAATTTTTGTCTACATAAAATCCAGCCCATGTATATACATAACATTGTATTTCTAATTGCCAAAACTTAGAAGCAGCTAAGACGTCCTTCAGTAGGTAAATGGGAAAATCAACTTTGATACTTCTGTACAATGTAATACTATGTACTGGCAGATAAATGAGCTATTGAGCCATGAAAAGTCATGGAGGAAATTTAAATGCATTGGACTAAGTGAAAGAAAGCAATCAGAAAAACCTACTTACTCTATCATTCCAACTACATGACATTCTAGAAAAGGCAAAACTATGGTGACTAAATATACTAGTGGTTATCAGAGGGTTTTTTATGCAGGGAAAAAAGAGTAGGTAGAGAATATGGTATTTTTAGGGTAGTGAAACTATCTTGTGTGATACCATGGTGGATACATGTCAATATACTTGTCAAAAACATAGAACATGCAACACCAAGAGTGAAGTCTAAGGTAAACTATGGACTTTGGGTGATACTGATGTTAATCCTGGTGTGTCAACTGTGGCAAATGTACCATGCTGGTGAGTGCATCAGGGCAGAAGATATTAGGAACTCCCTGCTTTCCACTTGATTTTGCTATTTATTAACTTAAAACTGTTAAAAAAAAAAAAAGATGAGTTTTACACTTTAAGTTTCATGGGAATACACTTTAAAGGCACTACTCTTGAAAACTATTTCAAAATATATGCTGGTTTAGGCTTAGAATTTGGAGCATTTATACCTCTAGTAGTATGAGGTAGAAATTAAATGTATGTATTAGAAACATCACTATTTAACACAGTCATTTGATTATCAGAATTAAAGATGTATGTGATGTACCAACAGTAGAAATGTATGCAATTTACTATTAAAGTTAAATTAGTATTACTAACCAAAATCATGTATTGAGAATCTGATAAAATCAGTGAAATAAAATAAAGAGAATAGTATCAAAGAAAGTCATCTCAATAATAATCCAATACTTAAATGGTGTGATTATGTAAGTATGTGTATATGAGTTTAGATATATATGCATATATATACATAAAGGTTAAGGAACAAATCAGGTTCTTAGAAACCAGGTCTGACTTTTGTTATTATTTTAAAAATGGGATCTATGGAAAGTCATTATTCAGTTTATAAAATCAGTAGAACATTAAGCCAAGTTTGGAAAATATATAAGAATGAAGGTCAGGTCCCAGAGGAATTATGATCTAAAAAAGTCACTACTTCTTTCGAAGGTTACTTTCACACTCTAGTACTTGATACTGCCACTGACACAAATTCCAAATAATCCAATATTTTGTTGGGTGCCACTTGCTCTTGATTTAAAATGCTGAATAAGAACCCAAATGAAAATAATTGAAGAACAACATTTTAATTCCCAGATTAGTATGAGGAGAATAGAAAGAATCGTAAAAAAAAAAAAAAAAAAAAAAAAGGATTACCGTGAGTATCCCATCATGATACATTAGGAAAAGGGAGTATAAACCAGTAGCCTAATTTAATAGCTTGGTTCTCACCAGCTTAAAGTCTCCTGAAATATATTACAATTGGAGATTTCAATAAAACTACTTTTTAAAAAAGAACAAGAAGTAGCTATGGTTCATGATATGATATTGAATAACCAACAATATAGAGAAACAGGAACATTTCAAATTTGAAATATTATTCTAAAACTAGAAATATAAATTTCTGCATGGCCTGTTCTACCAGATTTAATATGTTTGAGGATTCCTAGGGCAACTTGGACTTGCCCCTGGAGTCTCAAGGCATTGGATTGAGGGGCAGAGGGAGCAGGATTCCAGACTTCTGTTTTAATTAGAATAGTGCTATTACATTTTTTGACATTGCAAGTCTCCATAAAATGATTTTTACAAAAGGGTTTGGAGGGCCTAAAGTTTGAAAATCAGTGATGTATAAAATGGCACCTTCTAATTAAACTCTTAAGAAACAATTGTATTTTGTTGTTCCAGGAATTTTTTTTTTTTTTCATAAGAGATACTTTTGAGCAAGTGCTTACTATGGAACAGATACTTTGCTAGCACTTTCTCTAGGCTATTTAATTGCAATAAGGGTTTAATTATACCTTTTAAAGATAGAAAAATACACACACACACACACACACACACACACATATACGAAGAGAGAGAGATTGAGAATCACTTCAAAATTCAGTTTTGTGTTTAGAACCACTTGGGATGTTTTGTTTTTGCCAGTTAATTTTTCTCTAGCCAAACATTCTGGTCTATACTAATCCTTAAAAGCCTTGCCACAGTTGGGTTCAAACAGCAGGAGGCTCAATAGACTAGTGGGACCAATATATATCCCCCTACTGTGTTTATACAGGTGAAATCTCTCATCAGAAGACTTGTTCAGCAAGTCTATGTCTTCTTAAAATGTGCACTTGAATGTTTTGTAGTATCTGGGATAGATATTATAATTCTAAAAGACCTACATTTACTCCAGCCAAGATAAAAAATCAATGTTTATGATAATCCTCCCATTGGCAACAAATTGCTATCATTTCCTCTTAATAGTAGTGAATCCCTCATATTTAGTCTAGTTTTCTAACCAAAAGAAATTAAAAGGTATATGGAGTATAAAGAATAACTTCCTATTTCATATTTCTTTCAATGCCAGCTCTGTAACCAGCCACAGTCTTGATGTTGATTTCCTAAAGTCAACATTTCTATGCACTTTAAAACCTGGCATCCATTCTTTTTGGTTTAATTGTTGCTCTCTTCTTGGCCCCCTTCCTGATTCTAGATAATAACAAATGCCTGACCCATTCTTTTATCTTTTGTGTTAGAGCCCTGTTCATAGTTAAAATGAAAAGGTTTCTAACTCTCCCGATTGCTGCCCACGATCTGACTCCTAATTCTAATCTCTTACGCTTAAAGAAAATTAAAAATATTTATCCTATTTTTTTCATATAATAAAACCTTTATCTCTTGCTTTTAGCTTGTTAGGGTTGGCAAACCTATAGAATCCATGCACACCTTCTGATTATCACCTCTCTTCTTTCCTCTCTCTTGTGCTGGGACACAAGTGTGATAGCTGGAGATGCAGAAGCCATTTTACAAGAATGAGGATGAACGCTGCGCACTAAGGAAGATGGAATAGAAGGCTAAAGAAGTTTGGGTCACTGAGGACATAATGAAGCTGCCATATCTTGTCTGAACAGTCCTCCTTTATACTACTTATGTGACAGGAAGAAATTTCTATTTGATGAAGTCAAATTACCCTTTTATGTAGCCTTAATAGCAATTCTGATATGGCTACTACAGATATTTTTTGAATTATATACAGAAGTTAAAAATTGAGATGAAGAAACAGGTAAGGGAAATGAGGTGTAAGTTTATATTTATTCCTTTTCCTACCATTGCCACAAATTGCTACAAACTTCCCAAATTAAAAATGTATAGATATCCAGTGTTAGATATATTAGTAAAATAATAATTTTATTTAATAGAACATTTAAGCATATATCAAAATCAATTTATTATATCCATTATATGGACACATAAATGTATTTTTCTAAGGCAAAATTAAGCAGTATCATTTATTTAGCGGACATAGGATATGAAAAATGTTTTTTTCGTGTCCATTTGGTCTACATTCAACTTAAAGCAGGATTTATATATATAATCTCACCAGGATTATTGGTCATGATCCAACTTGCTTAGTCAACCCTTTTTGGGGGGGGGATTTTTAACATTTTCTATGATAAATATTTACACGGACTTTTTAAATAGCATTAGTTCTGTGAGTATCACCTGGCTAACTCTGCAGATTTTGAAATTTATCTACGGATACTGTGAAAGAAATGGGTCCTTGCGCGGGGTTTGGATCAGCTCTGTACAAGGCCACCCTAATTCTTGAAATGCGGCCCCTGCGGGAGGAGGGAAACACAAAGCCTATGTTCTGCTAAAGGGAGAAGTCAAACAGGATTTGCACTGTTGATTTATACAACTCTCAGTTCTTACGTTGTAGAAGATAAGTGGACAAATACGATCATGTATTTTAAAACTGTTCAACTCGTTATGCTGTTGTGGGTCCTCGAGTCAAAAAGCACACGCAGGAGCCTGGAGGAGAAGGATTTGCTCGGGTTCTGTTACTTGGCAGCCCTGGAAGCTCTCCAGCTGAAATCCGACGCTGGCCCCGCACCCACAGGGCTAGGAGGGACCTCACAGGGACCGCCACCCCGGACTGCTAGGTGGCAGGTTGAACAAGCAAGAGAACTTACTTATGAGGCTTGTGGTAGGCAGCCGCCAGACGAGCAGATCTCCGTGGCTGCCGCCAGCATCTTAAAGGTTCATACAGTGCCCTTCGCAGGATTCTGCCACAGATACAGGTCCCGAAGGCCTCCACCACACATTCTCGCAAGGCTGCATCCTTGAAACTGCTCCCACCTCAGGAATGGTTGGCAGAACTTTCCAACGGGAGGGGCTGAGGAGCCTCCAATTGCCCGGATGGGCTCCCAGGTCAACCTACGGTCATGTCCTCTCAATGACCTCCTTCAACAAGCACATTGAAAAAAAAGTCATCGCAAGAAAACAGTTCATAACCTTGAATATGTATCGTATAAATCCTAAATCAGACCTTGATCATACCTACTTTTTCCTCCCAAGTGGACTTCTGTTTATTAGACACAGTTTAGGAATATACATTTTATATAACTCCTCCTTTTTAACCATTAAAAATATAAAGCCAGAATATCTGAAATTGTCGAAGTGCTTATGACTATAATATTTTTCTCATTATCAGATTACTTATCAAATATAATCATAATTTATAATTACATAATGAAATTTGTTCAAAATTAAACATACACACTTACACTAGAAACATCATCATTTTTCTTGTGTGTAGATCCTAATTTGTCAATGTGATGCTAAGATTTGGGGGAGCAGAAATGGCATTTTTTCTTGTCAGTTTGTGACATTGATATGATTAATATTGCTTCATGTGTTTACAATTTAATCAAACTTTATATATTAGAATTATATCAATTCTTTTGTATTGATTTGTTTTTTTTCAATGATTTTTAATACAGTAAAATACACATAAAATGAAATTTACCATTTTAACTATTTTTATAGATAATATTTTTATTACATTGTCAGCTATTTAAAATACATTGTTGAAAACAAAAAAATAAGAAAAAGACAAAACAAAAAAGGAATAATAAGTAAATAAGCATGAGAAAGGTCTTATTTGATAATGAATGGGACGTGTATTTATAATTCAGTAGGCAAAAGGACACATAATCAAAACTAACACTGCAGGTGAAAGTGTATTGTTAACTAACACTCCAAAATGTATCTTAAGTTTATATTTCTTGATTCAATTTATTTTACATTTGCGTATCTGAGGAAATGATCCTATTTGTTAGGCACAGCAGTTCATTGAAGCTTTATTTAGTTACCAGGTCAAAAAGAAGAAGAAGACGGAGAAGGGGAAGGGGAGGGGGAGAGTGAAGGGGGAGAAGTCTCCTCACAAAAAGGGAACTACGAAACATTCATTAACAGGTTATTCAGCAGCCATTTATAATGAAGTATGTTCACATCATGTTAATTTGAAACTCAACAGAAATTAAGTATGGATAAAACTACCTAAGAAATAGGCACAACAATGATGGCAAAATAATACAGACAGAAGTTTCAGGGTAAGGACATCAAGGTCCTGTGTTTTTGCTTTTTAAAATTTTCCTGCAAGGTGCTTATCATGTGAAATATACAAGTTAGTGATATTAACGCATTCATAATGCTGTGCTACCATCACCACCACCCAATTCTAAAACACTTTTCATCTTGTAAAACTGAAACTCTGTACCCACTAAACAATAACTCTGCCATCTCCCTTTCCCCCAGCCTCTGGTAACCACCATTCTACTTTCTGTCTATATAATTATGACTATTCTTTGTGCCTCATGTAAGTGGAATGATGTAGTAGCCACTTTTTGTGACTGGATTTATTCACTTCGCATAATGTCTGTAACCTTCATCTGTGTTGGAGGATTTGTCAGAATTTCCTACCTTTTCATAGAGAAATAATATTCCATTGTGTGTATACAAATTTGGGATGTATACATTTTGCTTATCCATTCATCCATCAAGGGACACTTGAACTGCTTCTACGTTGTAGCTTTTGTGACTAATGCTGTTACATATATGAGCATACGAATATATCTTTGAGACCCTGCTTTCAATTATTTTAGGTAAATACCTAGAAGTGTAATTGCTAGATCAAATGGTAAGTCTATTTTTAATTTTAGAGGAAATTTCATACTGTTTTCCGGAGCAGCTGTACCTTGTTACATTCTCACGGTGTGCATGAATATTCCAATTTCTCCCCACCTTCACCAACACTTGTAATTTTGATGGTGACCATCCAAAGGGATGTGAGGTGTTTCATTCTTTTTCTTAATTCAAACAATCACTATACGAGTCAATGTTTTTATATAAAATAAAAATTTGTTTATATGGAGAATTGTAGGCAACACTGAAAAGCACTTTAATAAGTAACAAAAATCATCTTGTATTCATTCTTTTACCTCTGTTGGCATAAACCACCACAAATTTACCAAGGTATTCTCATAGACATTCAATGTTAGATGTATTACTGAAATAATATTTTCAATTAATTACTTTTCAGTGCATTAACAAAGCTCAAGAGATTGATTATATTGAAATGACTCCAAGAAAAAAAAAGTACTTAGAAAAGTAGCATGTGAAGTATGAATCTAGCAAACTTTAAGAAGAAAATATGTAATTTAAATCTCCATGAACTGTGTGTTCTTTTGGTTGAATAGGTGATGTGAATGTTAAAGAAATGCTTATTAAGAAATGATCAAATCCTTGACATATGCTATACATAAACCTAGAAACATAGTAACAGAGGATGTAGTATAAGATGAAAGCGATGCTATTTTCATTGATGTTCTGTCATAGAAAGTTTAGGCCACTAGTAACAGTATATAATAAAAGAATAAAGTGATGCTAAGTTTTCACTGATATATTTTCTGTCACAGGAAGTTTAGACCATTGTTTTTCCAACACCTCAAGTGGGAAAATAAATACCTCCTAGGCAAATAAAAAGTTTCTGTAGGCCAAGGTAATTTAGTATCTGCTCTGGCAGATGACATATGCAATTTTTCATCCTCTCTGAGACCACCTGAACAGCTGTCCTTGTGTGCTTAAATGGTTATTAAAATACCACTTTGGAAGTGTTTACCTGAAGGCTATAGAAAAAGTGAGATATCTTCTCAATTCTGGAGAAATTCAATTTAATAAAGTTGATTTTAAGCTCTATTACATCTCAACTCTATTTTCTCCATGGTCATTTCAGATGGAAGGAATGAATGTCTGTTGGAAAACAGATCTGTGGTGTCAAAAGATAGTATTTGGATTCCTGTCACCATAACTGTGAAAATAATTCATGGGTAATCTCTAAAGTCATCCTGAGGAAAAAAAACCACAAAAACAGAGCCTCTTTAGGAAGAGGAGAGAATGTAAAAATGCACCTAGATTCTTTTTTTTTTTTTTGTCTGTTTTACATCTAGATTCTTAATAATACTTCAACAAAAGTAATTTCTGTTCCTTGAATATACTCGATATTTTCTTGCTTTTTCTCTGCCTAGAGCAGTTTTCACTTAGAAATTCAAGTGGAAATCTAGCTCACTTCCTTCAGATTTGCTCTAATCACAGTCTCTTTATGAGGTCTACCTTACCCAACTCCCTATGCCAGCATCCTTAATCTTTCTTAACTTGTTCTATTTTTCCTTTTACCTGTAACATTTCTCTTCTTTTAATGAAATGGATGATGTAACAGATTTATTGTCTGATCTCTTACTGTAGTCTGTAAGTCCCGCAATGACAGGTGCTTAATAAAATCCGTGGAGTTAATGAGTGAATGAATAATTAGTAAATCAGGAAGTGTTTAATTAGTTTTTAGTATGTGCACGTCCTCTGAACAGAGCAGTAGAAGAAAATATTTTCTTTGCTTTCATGCATAAATCCTCTGGTGGGAAATATAGTCATTAGGTACATTATTTTGAATGTGATCAATAAATTTGGAGCACTTGCAGAGTTATTAAAGAGTATAATGTCATATCATCTGGGGCTTCAGAGTTCAACTAAGGAATTGCACTAAAATTCTATTCTTACAGATGAATAAAAGTTTCTAAGTTTAAGCAATGCCTTTTTTTTTTTTTTTTTTTTTCAAAATTTGTCTGAGCCAGGGACGCCTAGGTGGCTCAGGGAGTTAAAGCCTCTGCCTTTGGCTCAAGTCATGATCCCAGGGTCCTGGGATCAAGCCCCGCATCGGGCTCTCTGCTCTGCAGGGAGCCTGCTTCCCTTCCTCTCTCTCTGCCTGCCTCTCTGCCTACTTGTGATCTCTATCAAATAAATAAATGAAATCTTAAAAAAAAAATGCTGAGCCACTGTGTTTGTTGATCTAGTATCATTTTCATACTATACTCTACATTTTTTTTAATCAGTAACTTGGATTCATTCTTTCTTTTGTGCCTGTTCTGCAGTTTTCCAAAACAAAAGATAGAATAATTTTATTGATCAATAGAGGTAGTCAAGATACTTAGAAACAAGTGACTGTTAACACATGAAATTGAGATATAGCAAATATTTCCTTAATATGCAAGTGTTAGGGATGGGAAGATGGGATTAGGACTACTACATCTTACTTCTATACAACACATCTATCAACAACAGCTGATAAGGGGCACCTGGGTGGCTCAGTCATTAAGCATCTGCCTTAGGCTCAGGTCATGATCCTGGGTTCCTGGGATCGAACCCCACATCAGGCTCCCTGCTCAGCGGGAATCCTGCTTCTCTCTCTCCCACCCCACCACTGCTTGTGTTCCCTCTCTTGCTGTGTCTCTCTCTGTCAAATAAATAAATAAAATCTAAAAACAAAACAAAACAACAACAACAACAACAAAAAAAAAACAGCTGATTAAACCATGTCCAGTAAAACATAGCATGTCCCTAACTTAGAAGAAAAGACTTGTTCCTTTCCTCATGATGCTGAAGTACGAGTGTTCCACGGGATAGCAATCAGAAGGAAGGGAGACACTCTGAAGAAAGGCTCTTTGAGTATCTGGATTCTCATCAGAGAGATTGTTCTTCTTTACACTCCCTAGCAGAATGAAGCAAAGGCAAGAAAAGTGAAAATTGTCTGCATTGTAGAGACAAGTAGATCAGGCTTCCCGGGTTGCTTTGGGGAAGGGCAAACACAGACAGCCTGTGGATTCCTAGAGGCCGGTTAACAGTCACTTACCACCTCTCTGACAATCTTCACACTCACGGGATAATATGTTTTTGGCAAATATCATAACAGCCTAAGAAACTCTAGAGGATAGGTCTGCAAGTACAAACGTACAGCTAATGTGCTGTTAGGAACTGTTCTGTGTATCTTGTGAAAACAAAAAAGGAGGAGGAGAAGAAGAAGGAGAGGAAGAAGGAAAAGGAGGAGGAGAGGAGGAAGATGAAGGAAGAGGAGGAAGGGGAGAAAGAGATGGAAGAAAACACTAATGTATGTGTTGTTATTTGATAAAATTTAAAAATGAGAGGACAAAATGAGGAATTATGCTATTTCTGATATTTGGGTCAATTTTAAGCCAAAAGAGCATGTATTCTTTTTTATTTGCCTACCACTGATGTAGCAAGACAAAATAAGAGAGAGGGTAGAGGATGTGTGATCCTTCAGAGAACATGCAGAAGGCTGGTGAGCCCAGAAGTTGGGCATGTGGAATGTTCTTCCTGGTCATGCATTCAATGTTCTTTTAACTGTACAGGAGAAAGAATCTTGATTAATCACCAAATGTTTGGTTACTTCTTCGCAAGATTTATATGAGACATAATTTAATGTTAAAGCTACGATTAACCTTATATTGAGCTTATAAGTTTCAAATATCTCGTTCTTTTATATTTAGGTTTTTCACTTCTATCTATCACGAGACTTAGAGAAATTGTTATATACGTGCAATGTATTTTGTACCAGGTAAATATTTTCTTCACCATCAACCCTCTCAGGTGGGTGGGTTTACTGTAATTTATTAAGAACAATATATATTTGCATCTAAGGTCTAGCCAGGTGTTACTGTTACTTAGTTAGCTGGTTTATTTTTCAACTGGTTTATGTCTGACTATGGTCTTTGTGATTCCTGCCAGCTGTGCACTGAAACATCTGTGTCTCCCTCTCTTTTACTCAGAGCAATTTCCAGGGACTCGTATTTAAAGGAGAGTGAAATGTTGTCTCTAATTATAACAGCAATCTGTTCCACAGCAGTTTTCACACTCTACTTACATTCCCTACTGTGTTTTTCCAGTAGTTTTACCCTTTCTTCCATTTCTCTAATTTTGGATTTAAAATCATCAAGCTGCTGGTTAACTGAACTAACTTTAAAGTACATTGCTTCTAGTGCACTTTTTGGAAGCGCATATGATTGTTTACATTGATATTTAAAATTGAGTTTGAGTTATTTTTTCAAGGACAAGGTAAACTGTTGGGTATTCGTGAGGGATGGTTAATCCTTGATATATCTTTATCTTCTGCCATTGGTGCCACCTGCTTTATGATGACTAAGGAGCATGCGTGGAAGAAGAGCACTGATGTGCATCAATACAGAGGACTTTTCAAATATGTTCTTCCAATTCTTCTGCACAATTGCCATTTTATAGAAAAAAACACAATGCAAAGGAGTTAACGAGCATCTGCTTTATTTAAGAAATGTGGCAAATCAATTAAATCTCCACTAACTTTTCAACAGAATATGTGCTCAATTTCCAAAATAGAGCATAATGATATAATTTTAGAATTGGCTTTGTAGTTATTTAAACCTAGTCCTTAATATTGTGATGGCTTATCAGCTAAAGAAAAAGTAGTTAAACAGTACCTAAACATGACCTAAAGCAACTTTATGCCCTTCATGCTCTGATTGTGATATACTGGTAACATAAAGGTTTGAAAATAACAACCTTTTTTTAATAGTCGGAGGTTTAATACCCAAAACATAAAAATGTCCTATAATCTAAACATGCTTTATAGCCAACCAGATTGTTGTTTAAAAAAGAAAGAAAAGTCCATAAATTATCTAAAATGTATTTTATATAATATTGCTTCAACATATATTTTGTTACCCAAGATTCTAGTTAGTTTATCATTCATACTTTGCAGATTTTCATAGCAAACTAATTCGTTTTCCACAAGGAAGTTAGCATATTTTACCTATTTATTAAAAAAAAACCTTCTCTGATTTATTTGTTATTGTTTTCAACAGATAGATTAAGGAAGAACTGCTGTCTTTATTTTTATTTGCTATTGAAATAGGATATTTTCTTCCATTTGACAGCTTATATATTAAAAGTTTTTGATTCTTGTTTATTAATTTGACCTGCCCTCCTACTTAATTTGATTGTTGACTCAAAAACACTTATGTGATTCTTTTAGATTTTCTTAGGTTTAGATTTAGATTTTCTATTCACATAATCAGGTCACATGAGAATAATAAATTTCACTCTGCCTTTTTTTTTTTTTTTTCCAAATGTACATCTCTTGCTTCTTTCTTGGCTCTAATAGCTTCTTCCCTTAGTTCCAGAACAATAATAGTAAGGTGATTTTTGACATTCTTCTCTGTCTCCTGATCTTAAACACAATGCTTTCAGTATTTGAACATGAAATTTTGATTCTGATTTGAGATATTTCTCATAAATATTTTCTTATCCAATTTGTGACATCACGAAGAGAGAACTGAGGAGTTTTGACGCAGAAGGAGAAAACCTAATATTCCTTTCTATGTCATTCTTCTGACAACTTAGAATTTACTCTTTCTCCGAAACCTATTTTCTTCCAAAATCTGAGTGTAGTAATATTGCTAATAAACCATCATTAATACTACCACAAAATGTATTAGTCTCCTCCTACTCAGTTAAACTCTACATAAAGGATATAAACAGATACTTAATGACTTCTATTCCTCATATCAAAATAAAAATGTCAAAAAAATTGTCCTCAATTAAAATTAATTAATGCATTTGTCTGATTACTATAAATATAAAGTTATTTTACTAGCACAACATCATATACAGTGAATTTCAAAGGCAGCAAAGATACTGAGGCAGTCTGGTATATGTGTTTCCCCAATTGGACATGAGCCCTCTTCCTCATCAAGGATGGTGTTTCCCCTTTAATTACTTCACCACATTCTCCACAAATTTATGAAAAATGAATAATGCTAGATCCTTGTGAAATTTCTGGCAATAGACTCTAATGCTAATTATTTCCATTCCACACACAAAAGGAGGTTGAAATAGAGAAAGCAACAAAAGTTGCAGAATCAGAAAGACAAAGTTGTTTGTCCATCTCTTATCTTATAACCTGGAGCAAGAATCAATGGAATGAAATGAAAAGTTAGGATAAATGACCATTAATATTCTGTGTCTGTGTGTCTGTGTGTGTGAGTGAATGAAAACAAGTATTTGTATTATGTACATATATTGCTGAGTATCTGTGGAACAATACTCAAAGTTATGTCTCACGAACACTAAGCCATGGAAATCCATTAATTCATAAATAAAAGCATTCACAGTCTACCCCACCCCCATCAGTTACTATGAATAAACTAAAAATGAGTACTGTTGCTTTTGATGTGTAATAATTTATTCCTCAATAAGAATTCCTTAGTTATGATTCATTTATTCCTCAATAATTCATTTATTCCTTAGTTATGATTCATTTATTCCTCAATAAGAATTGCCTTAGTTATGATTCATATTCAGCCTATATTTGTTAAAACGAACACGAAGTCTTTATGATAAGCACTCATGTTAAATATAGCTTTATTTATTCCTCTTTCGATCAGTAAACAAGAACATTTTCTTACGTGAAGCAGAAAGACTTCATGTCAACCTCTCCCCTCCACAAGGTGTCTTTGGGTAGAAATAAATAAATCATTTTAAGGAGGGACATTTCTTGTCATGGCACTTGTCTTCTGACAGTTACTCGGTGATGCATAGCTGAAAAGGGCTCTGTGCTTATTTATGGTGAAAAATAATTACCAGAACTTGACAAGGAAGAATGCCTTCATTCCAAACCTACAGCAGAAGTCTGCTTGGATAAACAAAAGAAAGATAGTGAGCAAATTCATCGAGACCAATATCATGTATTTCTGCCCCCGGCCTAATGCCTGATGTCACTCTCTTCCTGGAAGTAACAAACTGGAAAACCAGCACTACAAAACAGAAGCACCTGGAAGTCAATGCGAGCACAATTTTGCTCAACAAGACACTCTGACAACTAACGACTAATAACCATCTGCCTGAGACTCAGTTTGAGTTTGTGAGATGCATCAGGTCCCCCTTTTTAGCCTCCAGCTTCATGTCCAATAACGCTTCCAGTGCCTGATATCTTGAGTCATGGAATTATAAATACTTGGAGCTCCTCGGGTGGACAATTATCTGAGGCAATACCCAGACTTCACAAATAAGGATAATGAGCATAGGTTAATTAGGTAACAGTTCAAGGTCATACAGCTACTTCAGCAAAGTGATCAGAATAAAATCTGGCTTTTAAAGTCCTAGTCTAGGGTCCTTTTACTCTAAAGTCTCCCTTAAGTAATTATTTTTTAAAGTAAAACTTACAGTAATCAAGGCAGAGGAAACCTCTGAAGTAATATGCCATTTTGAAGACTATACTGACACTGATTTTTCCAAGCAAGCCTTCTTACCCCCATCTCCAAGCAATCGACAGTAGTTTTAATTTGATGATGAATCTTCCATGCTTTTTTTGCCAGATCTCCCAGGTGAATGAGCGGAGAAATCTTTGAGTTGGCAGCAAAAGTTTAGGAAAACAATCTGTACACGGGAACAGAGAGAAGCTAACTGGCACATATGGGGAGTGAAAACATGACCGTGGTCTCATTAGCACCATGTGCTAAAAAACAGAGCTAAGCAGCCAAGTGTGAAGGTGAACCAGTCATGGAGAAGGTCTGGGCACCCTGAAATGGACGTGTTTTGCTTCACTGTGGGGTTTTTCCTGGATGTAATTAAAGCCTGATCCTTTCCAGCTGTAGTGCCACAGATTGTTTTAAGATAAACTCAATCTATAATTAAAAATCTCATTAATCATTTCCCAAATTATTTGTTGTAATATAAAATGGAAGTTGAAACCATTCCTGCTGTGAAAAATGGTTATAATATTAATAACCATGGCTGTCACAGATGTTAATGGCAAAGGGACCTTTGTGTCGCTGTTTATAGTGCTCCATTTTCTCAACTCCCTCACTGAGCAAGCAACTGAATACCCAAGTATTCTTTAATTCAATGTGCTTTTTTACTTTAAAATACATTCAGCATTTTTTAAAACTTCTGACTGTTGAATGATAAGAACATTAAATAATTGTAATTCCAGATTAAATTTATGTGACTCACTGTGCACAAATGTAACTGGATTAAAAATGAGAATATTAGGTTGTTTATTGTGATTAGCAATCCATCCAGATACGACACTCATTATTTATAGCTTTCTGAGATTTTTCTTTCCTAGAACTTTAAGGTTCATATCAGCTTTCAGTTCATAAATGCAATAATGGAACTTAATCAAAATTACAGGGATAGACAACAGAACTCTATCCAGGTGACAATTTCAAATGTGGTTCTATGGTATAGAAGTGTCAATATCATGGGTGACCAGATGTTGGTTTTCCTGGGATATATCCAGTTGAACCTACTGTCCCTGAGACCCATCTGGTTTATTTAGTATTTGTTCCTGATTTGTCATTGTTATTAAAAATTATTATCAAGGGGTGCCTGGGTGGCTCAGTGGGTTAAAGCCTCTGCCTTCAGCTCAGGTCATGATTCCAGGGTCCTGGGATCAAGCCCCGCATCGGGCTCTCTGCTCGGCAGGGAGCCTGCTTCCCCCTCTCTCTCTGCCTGCCTCTCTGCCTACTTGTGATCTCACTTGTCAAATAAATAACAAATAAAATCTTTAAAAAAAAAAAATTATTATCAATAGTTGCATTGATGATGAGTAGGATGAGTATGGCATATTTTCACTTTCTACTTTCATCTTCTGCCTTTGTCCCTGGGGTGGTAGAGACTCGTGAGCAGTGAACTGAGTTTTACCATTCATTTAAGTCTGAAAGACGACTAAAATCCCAGTCTCATTCCCTAACCTTTCCAAGACCCAAGAGAACTAATCTCTTATTTTTTAAATGTATTTATTTATTTATTTTACAACGATCACAAGTAGTCAGAGAGGCAGACAGAGAGAGAGGGGGGAAGCAGGCTCCCTGCTGAGCAGAGAGCCCAATGCGGGGCTCAATCCCAGGACCCCGAGATCATGACCAGAGCCGAAGGCAGAGGCTTAACCACTGAGCCACCCAGGTGCCCCAGAACTAATCTCTTTAAAGATAACATTTTAACTAATAACATGAAGTACATTCTCTCACTTGGCTGTCTTTATTGACCTTTTGATAAATAGCTAGATGTGCCATGAATGACACCTGACAATGTTTATAAGACACCAAAAGCCACAAGGAGTAAGGAGAAATCATACACTAATTATATTTTAAATATATGTATTTCATAGAAATTCGGTAGCCCTGCAACAGAACATATTGGTATGGATGCTTTTGTCACACTTATTATTTTTGTCATTTATGGTTCAAAGCTCTAACTCTATATTTATTGTTTGGTCACACTTCCGTTTGGCTGCTTTGTGTTATTAAAAAAATATTCAGTGGCGATAAACTAAAAAATATACTTTTTTAAAGATTTTATTTATTCATTAGAGAGAGAGAGAGAAAGAAAGAGCACACAAGCAGGGGGAGAGGCAGAGGGAGAGGGAGAAGCAGACTTCCCACTGAGCTGGAATCCTGATATGGGTCTCAATCCTAGGATCTGGAGATCATGACCTGAGTCTAAAGCAGAAGCTCAACCATGGTGAGCCACTCAGGCACCCCCAAAATATATAAATTTATTGGAAAATTGAGTTATATGATTTTATTGTTCAAGAAAGTTGTTATTGATTATGTAACCACTCAGAATGTTGGCCAATACTTACTGCCCACCTTGGTGACAAGATTCAGTACAGGAAGTCTAAGATATCAAGTCTGCTGAAGAAGAATTAATAAAGCTAGTTGATGTGTGAATAGGTATGTGTTCAAATGTAAGGATTTAACAAGTTTCTGTGCTAAAAAGGAATCATTCTTTACCATAGAACCACATTTGAAATTGTGACCTGGTTAGAGTTCTGTTGTCTATCCCTATTATTTTGGTCAAGTTCTATTATTATCTTTACAAACTTAAAGCTGTTATGAAAGAGTGTTTACATATCATTATATAAAAAATTTTTACCCAAAGGTTGCTCTCTTAATTATTTTTATTCTATTTTCATCTTCAGTTTTTCTTATACAGCATGAAAAATAGTCTATATACTAGCTTTGTTATCAGAAAATCCTTCACAGGTAAAGTAATTATTCCAGTTTTATATCAATACCATCAGATACTTCAAATAAGAAGTTACTTAATACTTGCTATCGGCTGCATACTTTCATCCAATTTATGAAATTGAAGTGAAACTATTAGAAGTTCATTTTATCAAAGATTAAACATCAAACGTTAGTTAATGCTACCGTAAAGTCAACATTAATGATAAATTTTGGTGGGGCAGAGAGTATCATATTTTTAAAAATGATCCTTAATAAATTTAAAAACAAATGGAGTAAAAAGTGTACTTGAAATAGGTTTCAAGACACGGACATAATTTACTCTTACATTCAAATAAATTATCATATTCCAGCAATTGAAATAGAGGCTATAGCTATCAAAATTTAATATGTACTACATATACACACATATATATACACATATGCAAACACATACTCACAAAAACTGAACGTAACTGAATTAAAAATATTTTGTTATGTGGCTCTTAAATTTTTGCATGATATTACATCTGTTTCTTCTAGTGCCCATTATCAGTTGTATTTAAAAAATATCTAACTTTTGGAAAAACCTTTAGAAATCACCTTCAAGAACCCAGTGTGCTTTTAGACATTTTTTAAAGCAGCACTTTGTATTTTAGTTAAAATTTATTTGAAATCAGGTAGAAATTTTAATAGAATATTCAGTGAATGAAGAACTAAAATCTAATCCTCTTAACCTTTTAGGATATTGAAGTTATTTAAAACAAAGCTCAAAATAAGCAAGAGCGAATAGAATGGCTTTTTTTCCCTCATATAAATATTTATCCGAAAAAAGACACTCTGGAATTCACAGGCGAAAGAGAGTAGCTGTTAAACATTTGGGCTATAATATATTCACATTTGAATAGTTAAAAAAAAATTGATACTATTGTTTTCTTACCAGGATTTTTTCTGAGCTTTCTCTCAATTAAAAATATTCTGGTCTGAGCTTAAGAGTCAATTGAATGTGTCAAATATTTTTAATTACTTAAGCATACAAATTAATTATGATGAAGGTCATGATCAAATTTATTTTAAAAATTTAAAATGCTAATCCTTCAACTGTTGAAAAGATACATTCTTAGAAATGTACAAATCACTTGGTATTAGAAACTCATATGGTTGGGAAAGTGATTAAAATATGTAAATATATGACAAGAATAAGTTTTCTGATTTGCTTATTTTTGTTTAGATAATCAATATAAAATAGTTGGGTTTTTTTTTATTTTGCTGAGATATATGTATAAATATTACTTTATACATTTTGGGGAGCAGAATTTTTTTTCATTTTATTTTATTTTATTTCTTTTCAGTGTTCCAGCATTCATTGTTTATGCACCACACTACTTTATACTTTTTATAAATAATTTTATTTTTATTTACTTTTTAAATTATATTCTTTAAGATTTTATTTATTCATTTGAGAGAGAGAGAGTGATGTTGAGCAAGAGCATGAGTTGGGGGAAGGGAAGAGAGGGAGAAGCAGGTTCCCTGGGCTGAGCAGGGAGCCCAACGTGGGGCTCCATTCCAGGACCTTGAGATCATGACCTGAGCCCAAGGCAGACGCTTAACCAACTGAGCCACCCAGGTGCCCCAGGAATTTTGTTTTTAAAAACTAGAAGAAATTGGGGCACCTGGGTGGCTCAGTGGTTTAAGCCCCTGCCTTCGCTCAGGTCATGATCCTGGAGTCCTGGGATCGAGCCCCGCATCGGGCTCTCTGCTCAGCGGGGAGCCTGTTTCCCTTCCTCTCTCTCTGCCTGCTTGTGATCTCTCTCTGTCAAATAAATAAATAAAAATCTTAAAAAAAAAAAAACTAGAAGAAATTGAAAAAATATGAAAGTTTTTTTAAAAATATCTAATAAACCAATTTGTTATTGTAAAATTATTGTTTTACAACAATTTTTGTTTTATAATTTGTTATAAATTTGTATTTCAATTATTTTTAGCAAAATTTTTTACTTTCAAGTGTCCTAGCTTGGAGAGTAAATTACATGTCCAATTTATTGGTAAGACTTACAGATCTCTTTCAATTTAACAAATGTCATATCAACATATCAAAATATCACTCCTTGATTTGAAGATAAACAGAAATTGAGAAGAATGTTTCCCAGAGAAAGGAAACCTCTTAAAAATAATCATGCCATTAATTTGTGGTTAAAAAACTATAAGAAAAAAAATTAGTTATCTAGCACTATAGCAATTGCTATAAATTAGAATTTCCATGTAGTGCAGTTTTACTAATCAGGATAATCTATCTTATCTTACAAATATCCCACAATTCCCCATGGCTTATCTCAGTTAAGTTTTGTGCTTGTCTCATGCCATATTATAAGGCAGGTGAGCAGTAGTCACTCTTCCACGTTGTCAATCAAGTACACCGGCTC